TGTAATGGCACAAAATAAAAAAAATATGCTTGAAGGGTTAGTGAGTCAGTATGGTAATCCAGTCCAAAATATTAATGGTCAACTTGAAGATGATAGTTCGGATCAATCAATGAAATCTTTAGATCCTATTATGAATAAGGGTAATGGCTGTATTTTTCTATGTTATGGACCGCCTGGTACCGGAAAGACTTTGACGGCTCAGAGCGTGGCGGAACATTTGAGATTGCCACTATGGATACTCACTGTACGTGAACTTGGAACGTCTCCCGAATCGTACGTACATACAGTAAAGATTTTCAATTATTTCACATTGTATTTTTTGCTGCTCTTATTAATATAATCACTTTTTTTTCTAATAGGTTAGAAAAAGAATTAGTTAAAGTTTTGGATATCGCTTATACATGGAAGGCCGTTATTTTACTCGATGAGGCCGATATTTACCTTGAAAGACGCAGTACTGTTGATCTAACTCGTAATACAATGGTTGGAATATTTTTGCGTCTGCTTGAATATTATCAAGGTATAGAGTTAATTATATGATTTTCATATGAAATTCTATTTATTATCACATTTAAGAGAACTTATACACATCTTTTATTTCTCTATTATTTATCTTTTAAGGCGTAATGTTCCTAACCACGAATCGAGTAATAACCTTTGATGAAGCAGTATGCTCTCGAGTTAACATGTTCCTTCATTATCCTAAACTCGGACTGAATGAAAAACGCCAAGTCTGGAAAAACTTTATTAAACGCGCCAACCTTCCTCTCGATGCTGAAGACTTTATAAATTATGAATTAAATGGTCGTGAAATTCGCAATGTTCTTCACGCTGCGCGATTGTTGGCCAAGAATAAAGGCAAATCTTTGACTGCAAATAATGTGATTGATATTATCGATATTATTCAAGAGTTTCGGAAAGTGACAAATGAACATAAAATTATATAGTTAATGGATATGTTAATAAAAAATATATTTTTACTTCAATTATAAATCCTAAACTTTTAACATTAGAATAAGATCTAATAATTTTCTTTGTTGCAATAAAAACAATAAGACATTTTGACTATATATATATTATTTTTTAAGTTATCTTATTATTTATTAAATGCTATACTTTTGAGTCGTTTATGTTTACAAGTAATTGTCGTGTTATTAATTATGAATTTATCGATTAATAAAATGCTAAATTAACATATATTTAACATATATGCATATTTAAAACATATATGCATATTTAAAACATGTAATGAAATTTGAAATTGTTGCATTGACCCGTTAAGTACTCTTTTAAGTCTTTAACGAATATGGTATGGGTATCGAGTTTATGTTAAAGAATTATAGGTTAATCACTGATTTGTAATTACGAAAAGACCGATAGACTAAATGTTATACGGGAATACAGATAGCTAACATTATTTAATAACAATTACGATCAAGTTATTCATGTATAAAAACGCAATCTGCTTTTTTTTTATTCATGAGTTTTCACAACTTGAAAGACTGCTAATTTCTAGAGAGCTATTGGGTCTATTTATACATTCTAAATTAGAGTGTATAAATAGACTCAATAGCTGATTGTATTTATTAGAATTTTAATCAATACAATAATCAGTCCTATAGTTCCTACAAAAAATTGTACCTTAAAATTAATAATAAAATAAAACGACTTATTTAAATTGCCATAATGTGGACTAAATTAATATGTTCAATGAGAAATTTATTGTTACCGGTAGTCTTTATTTTACCAGTAACTTTAACTTTACACGCAATTTTTATTAATTCTAGAACAGTTTTTCCCGATTAC